GCAGTATAAAGTGGTTTATCTTTGAAGCTAAAATTCAGTTTCAAAAATGCTTGTTTGAACTATAGTATATATGTCATCATAACTCCATTTCTGAATATCATGCCAACGCCATTCAAATTTACAAGATGAACATTGTATAATGTACTAATAAACAATTATGCCAATAGCATATTTATTTGCTGGTAAAACAAATTCATTTTAAAGAAGGACAGGGCTAAATGCAGTAGCAAATTACAATAAAACGAACACGCAATTACACTACACATGAGCTCAATAATAAAGTAGGCCTCCATCTCCACTCTATTTCACATCTGGAAAATAATTTTATGCAGAGTTCCAAGATTAGCATTTGTACAGTGATATAAACCAATTAATACACAAGTTTTACAGACATAGCCAAAAAAAAAAACAAAAAAAAAAGAGAAAGTAGACCAGTATTTCCGGAGGTTTTTTCATGAGTCCAGAAATGTAGAAACTTGACCAAATTAAGCCAGCCATTACTCTGAAGAACATGTTCACTTGACTGGTAAGAATGTAGAGAATCTAGTTGCTGCATAATCAATCACTGACAATCTAGAGTGGAGTCTGTCTGTATCAACCATTAAACTTTAGCTTATGATACCCGAGGCAAAGCTTTGTATTGGTCACAGGAAAAATGGCTGAAATTCCCATTAGAGAGAATTTTCATATGCTTAGTTATAATTTGATGCAAAACTTAAAATATTTAACAATCAGTTGAAGGTAAATAGATTGCAAATATTCAAATATTGCAATGAGAAATGTTAGAGTAAAGGTTAGAGGTTATAACCTCCAGTGTACTACATTACACAGAGAATAAATTAATATCCAATCCAGTATAACAGTGTCTGTTAAAGTAGAATATTTTGGTTGTGGAAATTGAGATTTGGAAAAAATGTTGCTGATTTATTTATAATAAAACACTGGCTTTGCTCAACGTTTTTAGGGTTACAGCAAGTTGTGAAAAAAACTAGCAAGACCAGCAAAAACACATGGTTATATACATGATAAAAAAAAATTGTTAGTCATCAAAAGGTAGTACACTTGTTAGTGATTCAAGTGTTATTTAGAGCTTTCTTATATTTACATGGAATTAATTTCAACAATGATCTTGCATCATTGTTATTCAAAGTAAATAAGCAATGTTTATTGCTACTGGCATTTGATGACAAGTTGAAGGATATAAAGATTAAGCAAACCAAAGTAAACAATGAAGATATCTATCTTCCAAATAATGTGAATAAAAAACGTAAAAGTAAGCATTTACACTTATTTTAACATATAAATTAGTTTATGTTTATGTGTACAATTATGTGTTATTATGTGTTTCTTCTTATTATATCTTTATTTACAATACTCAGTTGATGTTCAGCTACTTAAAAATTATTATAGCAACTTAATATTAAATGTTGATTGCTATTTTTTAATGTTCCAAATTCAATTTTCATGATTTGTAAGATCAAATGTTCAGCATTCAACATAGGAAAAGAAAGAGAAGGCCAAAAATGGTGTGTAAGGAAGACACATGATTGATTTTTAACTGACTTAAAAACTGACTACAATATTCTCAAAAAGTAGCTTCATGATGTCATTATTATAATTTTTGGGACATTTACAAATAAAAAAATTACAGATTCACTCAACTTACAGTTATTGGTATTGATAATCCCGGTTGAGACGTTTGTTCGGTGCCGGTAGGCTGTGTTTGTACAAAGGTTGTGCCATCAGGTGCTGTGCCTTGGGTGAAGCCCGCTACGGAAACTCCGTCTTGTGTCTGAGGTGGCTGTACATAGCTTGCAGCCTGGTCAGATTGGGCCTGGGCTACAGATGTGGGAACGTAGGGTGTCTGCACTTGCGGTTGCTGGTAGGCTTCTAAGCCGTTCTGTGGTGGGAATGCCTGTGCTTGGTAGGCTGCAGCAAGCTGAGGCTGGCCGGCCATCGGCATGTGGTGCTATAGAGAAATGCAGAAAAAGAACAGATTAGATATATATGATTTATATTCATATACAAAGTGATCAACGGAATTCCGGTAACAATGAGAGTGTAAACGGCTGCTCGGTATCCAAGTGCCGGTTTGAGGCCATGCATGGGTAGTTTAATGCAAAAACTACGGAAATAGCACCATTAAAATTCCCAAGACGCTACTGAAAATGAACAACTGACACAACACGACGACACAGCCTGAACTAGATGAGCGGAGTTCGTTTCAGAAAAACGTGTGATGTGATCACGACCTACAGTGATTACGTAGGATTAAAGCGTCCTTACTGAAAAAATCCGTTTTAAATCCTTTTATGAGTATTATGGAAAAGCAAGGGAAGATTACATGTACTAATATAATGTTTCTTCAACGAACGATAAGTCACTTAATGGCAGCTTGCTTGCGTATGAGCTAAATGCCTCAGAATAGCGTACAACTGAGGTGATAGACACAACGACTCAAGTGTAGATTTTGAATTCTGTTAAACATTTGCATGAATTTTTATTCTGTTGTCTTTGTCTCGCTCTTCATTTAACTCAACTCATTACATGCATGACTGAGCAACGTTGTTTTTTGCAGGTAGGGATATCTCCATGTAAGTTACTGGGATATATTATATGTAATAAACATGTTGAAACTTAAGACTATACCCTGGCTTATACTGATTAACTATCAAATTCAAAACATTTTGCATTATTAAAGAAACGAGTGAAAAGCTTTGGGCCAATACATAAAAGATGAAAAACTGTCACCAAATATTTACGTACGGTTGAATTATTTAGGATACCAGATATGTCACACAAACATGATAATCATAAACAAAGAGGATTCAACCTCCTAATCAACATATGTTTTTAACAGTTCAAAAATATGCAAATCAATGAAAATATTAAACATAATGTTTGTTAAAAAATATAATTTCATAATTGTTAACAAATTATTCATTATTGCTCTTCTTTTTTTGTTTAGTATTCAATGACTATGAGATGTTCTTTTAATATTTTGTTATAAAAATAATAATAAATGTACCATTTTCTGAACACTAACTAGACAAAATAAAGAAGATGCTAGATAATTATTTTCTTATAATTATTTTTCTGCATTAATTTCCATAATTCTTCTATGACATGGATACAATAAACTTTAAAGTTTCAAAAGGAGGAATAAATAAATTTATTTTAAATTTATAATATTTTATTTTATTTATTATAACAAATTTATCTGCAATGCTATCAGTTTATCCATGGAGTGTTTACCTGTTTCAACCACAACAGTAAGAGGCCAGTCAACATTATCAACACTTTCGCAAGTGTACAAACAGTACGCTAGGGAGAAGGAGGCAGACAAATCTGTACACTTTTACATATGCGTAAAAATGTTGATTCTAAATAACATGAATTATGTGAAATATGGGTAAAATTATGATCATGGATATAATATTAATCTTTAAGCAACGAAGTACATTGCTTGACTTCACAAAAAAATGGAGAATTGTTTTGCAAAATCAACATTTTTTGTACACTTTCAGAGGAGAGAGAAGGATGCTGAAAAAGAGTACTGTTTGGACACTTCTGAAAATGTTGATAATTGTGAACAACCCCTAAGCAGACTGGTTTTACTTAAAGAAATTGGAGTTTAATCTTTTCTGAAGCCCGCCCCCAATCAACAGTTAAACAAATTATCATACTGTGCAGTTAATAAATAACAACCCTGACCTACTTAGCAGTTAATCACTGAATTTCATTTCCATAGACCACCAAAAGAATTGTAATAAAATTCTTCTTTAAGGAAAGATATTGTTAGAATATTTTTCCATATGTAATTTCCAATCTTAATATATAAATATAATAATAAAATAAATAAATAATAATAAATACAAAAATGTTGCATTAAATATATTATGATCTAATTTTTCCTCAACATCGATAATTAGAGAAAAAACTTCCAACAAAAATGACATATGTTCTATCCATAATAGTGCCAAAGCAAACAACTTATTTATGAAAGATTCAAAAACCATGTCCAAATGTGGAGAAGATTAGCTAGCTCTTTCTAGGCCCAAGCTAATGAGTTGCACAGCAGCCTTTAGACTGCAACTAATGGGATTCAAGCCCCTTGGGTCCCTAAGTGATGATTAAGCCTTGATAACACATCTCTGAACACTACAAAAGCTGGTTGCTTATTGCCACACATTCTGCATGGCTTTGATTGTTATTTACTCAATTCCACATGCCATTTCAACTTTGAACTCTCAAGGCTACGATGAAGCTAATTAGCATAATACCTCAACTGCACATTGTTTGGCAAATACTCAATTTATACTACTAGCATATGTTGTCGTAATGCAGACATGTGCCTCATTGTTTGACGGTTTTAAAGAAAAAAATAATTTATTAAATATTTATGCACTGAATTTAATATAAATACACATTATGGCATATGGTATCTAATGTATATTAATTATTCATATATGTATATCAATTAATAACACAATGGTGCCAGTTTATATAATATAATAACAACATTTAAAAATATCAGCACATAAAATAATATTATATATATACATATATATACATATATATATATATATATATATATATATATATACTATTTATTACAAAGCATATAATATAAATATGTAGTGTGATGCAAAATAGACACTATTGAATCCTAGCCAACTTTGTTTATTTATTGCATCAATTATTTGTTAAATTTCCTTTAATTGTTTTGCATTCACTTGTTTATGTTATTAGCTGAATAAAGCATAAATGAATGAAGTTATGAGTTATTGTTGATTAAGATGTAACATTACAATGCATATTTTAGTCATATTAAATTATTATACTTCCAAAGAATGCTGAAATAACCAACATATTCTAACCCTCATAATGTTAAAAAAAAAATAAATAAATAAAAAAAAATAAAAATTTATGATTGACTTGACAAAATATTATAAGCTTTACATTTTACTTGTTACCATTAAGTCAAATATGTAAAGTACAAAATTAAATTTCTACATGCGCAATCAGCGAGAAAACCCACATCATAAAAAGGGTACCAAAAGGTGGCACTGCCCAGAATAATCTACAAAATCTAGAAAAATAAAAATGTTAAAAGTTGAAAGCATCTTCTTTTGTTGTTTTACTATAGCTTTGTCGTTTTTTTTTTTCTTTTGTGTGTTTTTGTACGTTCAAAACACTAATGACATGAGTACTAATGTAATCATAAGGAAATCAAAACTGATCCCGAATATTATTCAATCACTACTTAAGACATTACAAATGAGTGGAATATTGGTCAAGGGTAGTAGTTTTAATTTCAGTTGATTTACATTAAGCCCACAAAAAAATAAATATATAAGAAAAAATAAAAATTTATGATTGACTTGACAAAATATTATAAGCTTTACATTTTACTTGTTACCATTAAGTCAAATATGCAAAGTACAAAATTAAATTTCTACATGCGCAATCAGCGAGAAAACCCACATCATAAAAAGGGTACCAAAACGTGGCACTACCCAGAATAATCTACGTAATCTAGAAAAATAAAAATGTTAAAAGTTGAAAGCATCTTCTTTTGTTGTTTTACTATAGCTTTGTCGTTTTTTTTTTTTCTTTTGTGTGTTTTTGTACGTTCAAAACACTAATGACATGAGTACTAATGTAATCATAAGGAAATCAAAACTGATCCCGAATATTATTCAATCACTACTTAAGACATTACAAATGAGTGGAATATTGGTCAAGGGTAGTAGTTTTAATTTCAGTTGATTTACATTAAGCCCACTTAGGATGGATGACTTCCAATACAAGTTACAAAACAACTTTTTTGATCCGTAATTCATTACATCTGCTGTTTGAATGATAACTATTTTAACAAACATAAAATTAGCACAACATTTTTTAATAGATCTTATTATCAAACTATGGAATTTCTCCTATAGGCTTTGTTCCAGTGACCGGGGTAATACACTTTTTTTTTTTAAATAAGAAAACATTTTATAAGAACACTGAGACTGAAATTGCTTAAGAACAATATAAGAACAAATTGAGGCTGAGGTAAAGGTAGAGTATGTAATGAAATTTTTATATTTAAAAACTAAATAAACCAAAAAATTATATCTACCTTGTGTGCAGTAGGTATGTAATACCCTCTATAATGCAGTACAGCAGGTTTACAACCTGTCATTTGGGGCCAATTTTACTGGGGCTTTTTTTTTTGTGGCCATTTTTTCAGGGGCTTTTTTTCAGGGACCATTTTTTCCAGGGCAACTTTTTACCTACATTCCAGTACTGTGTGTATGTATACTGCTGTAAAATAATGATTTTCTATGTTTGTTGAATGTTGAACATAATAAAATAAGGACATTTTGAGCCTGAAATCATCCAAAAAATAAGAATACCGAGTCTAGGCAAAATTTTACTGGTTCTTATAAATAAAAAAAAAGTGTAATGCAGAAAAGGGCTCTGAGACATTACATAAGAACGTACATATTATTGATTCGAGATATTTGCCACCAACAACAGTTTTTTTTCGGAACTATTTACGTTTTGTACCGCAAGCATTAATATATAACATATTATTATTATTATTAATATCATTATTAATATTTTTGAAAGATACAGTTATCAATTATCTTGTTTATAGTCATAATTTGTTAATTTGTTATTAATTTGTATTACTAGTAAGACATTACTTAGTTATTGGAGTGTGTGTGTGTATTTATTAAGTATGAAACACACTAAGGAATACACCAGAACAGAATCTTCCATTCTTTTTAAAAGCATAAAGTAATCTTTATCAAGCATATATGGGCCCTATTAATTGCACAAGGGACGAGTGGGTTAATGTCTCATCTAAAGACAGGGCATTATCGTAACTAGTACTTTAGCCCTCCAGCTGAAACACAAGGAGAGCACTGATTGGAATTGAACCAGGGACCAAAGGCATGAAAGGATCCCCACCAA